GCAAGGCGTCCACGGCGACCAGGCCAGCCCACCGAGAACGCATCGGCAAGCAGGGCGGTTTTACCTAACGGTGTAAGGGGAGGTGCTGCGCAGGGCAATGTCAAGCGAAGAACGAAGGCAAAGCGTTCACGGTGACAAGGCCACCAAACCGAGAATGGATGAAAGGTGTCAACGGCAACCAGGGCGGTTCTACCTTGTGAGTATGAGTGAACACGCTGTGCAGGGCAATGTCACACGAAGAACGTACGCAAGGCGTTCTCGGCACACAAGCTACATCACCACTGACGGTTGTAACGCACCTACGGCGAGCAAGTCTCATAGATGCGTGGGGGCAAAGCATCACGTCAGGCACTTAACTTCGCCGTAGACAATAGTATAGGTAGTATTTACAGCACGGCAACTACCTTAAGCTTCACAAGCTGATCATCTGCACGTGTCACGTACAGGACGGGTTTTAGAAAGATTCCTACTAGATTCATTTGTAGGATTTCAAAAATCGTTTACTACTAGTATGTAATGCTTCGGAGCACCTAAATTTGTACTTCTTACGAAGAGTTCGCTTGTATGAAAAAGAGCCCAGTAAAGGAAAGGAAAGCAGTAGAAGGTGGTGCGCTCCAGTTCCCCTGTTCGAAGTCAGTTTCCGTTTCCGACACTGACGTCGATCAGTTACGGAAGGTGACTATCTCGCTTCAATAAATTATGATCTGTTATGATGAAGAGTAGATCATATAGTTCAAGCCAGGACAGTACAACACAGTGCAAGACTTGACCACTACTACTAACTCTACATTTTTGACTCAAGGAATTGCCCATCCGTGACAAAGTGAGCAATCCACCTATTACAAATAGCTTGCACGAAGAGGGTCTATTCAAGGGACCTTGCATCATACGGCTGAACAACAAGCGGAAATATGTACAAAGTTATGCACCTTGATTCCTCAAATCAGCCAATTCTGTGTGGGCTTGAGCGACTTGAGCTCGCAGATGATTTGCTTCTTCAATCGCTGTATCGGCCTTCTCCGCTTGCAGTTTCCACACAATCGCCTGCTCGATAATTGGCGTTGGATCTGAAAATATTCACTATAGAAGGCGGTATGAGTACGCTACGACTTAGTGCTGCCGCAACTTATAGCCTCACTGTTAGCATGATTCTGAGCTTAGCAAATCATAATTACACAAGCACCTTTACAAGAACTTTTTTTGAGAAATGCTTATTTAATGAAAAGGGGATGAACCACAAAAAAGTTGCGATGGCGGATGCACCAGAAAAATCAGATTTGAGCTCATGTGTCTTGCGCCGGGGCATATACACAACTGTAGTCTCTTTATATATTGAAGCCTTGTCGGATAAGCTGATGGTGTTTTATAACAAAGTATTCACAACTTTCAGACAAGGACTGTATGCACTATGAACGGTTGGTTTTCGTGAATTTTAATGAATTCTTGATATACAACATCTTACAAAAACTGTACAGGACTTGAGGCGTGAGAAATTACGGACTATAAGGTCTCTTATTGAAGTCTGTTCGTAATATCACTGCCAGTTTACTGTTGCATCTGTACCGAACTGGTAAAACCATTCGAATGGCAAAACTCCTCCTTTCAGTCTCACCTGCTCTTTTTCTGCTATCTTCTATTTTAAGCATTCGTAATGCACAAAACAGATGTTTTTCCATTTGTACAGCGTTATCCCAAAAGATCCCAGATTAGCTCATTTCTAATGTATTGATAAGGGCACGGAAAAAGTCCCCGGTGTTGACCAAATACGATGTGAGAGGCGTCCACGCATTTAGCTTGATCTCAAAATCGCTGTGGCTTTCGAATGAGTTTGTAAACTGAACATTGAGGAGCCAGCCGTCGTTCAAGTCAGTGAATTTATCTTCACCTGCAGTCTGTTAGCAGATGATCAGAGGGATTGAAAATTCGCAGGGGCTGAGTGGGTGCCTATCCGGCCTCTCAACTGCATTTTCATGCTGTCAGGACCGGTTGCTAAATGGTCGACCACAGACTGGTAGGCCTGAAGGACTCTGTCAGCACTGCTCNTATAATGCAAAAAAGCAATACGATCACAAAGTCTTTTTTTTCCTTAGTCTCTTAATGCTGAAATGTGACTAAACTCTTTTCATAGGGACAGGTGGGTGCGTAATTCTCCTTTTCTTTATAAGGGCCACGCAGCAGAAGAAAGTACCTGAATAATGGTCGCTACCACTACTGTGATCTGATATTTTCCGTTGAAATATCTATTTTGCGTCCGCCACAAGTCCAGAAAAAAAGGGTGAAGATAACTCTATAGTTCTCCAATATATCCCTGGATTCTGCCCCACATCCAGATTTCTCGACTCTTTGGCTGCGGATTGAGAGACTACCGTTCTTACAAACAATTATCGACACAGCGTCCTAAGCGTCACCACAAACGTCTAACTATCATCACAATTTTCGAGTAAGAAGTTCATCGACAATACACCATCTCGAATTAAATCACCCAACGAGCGATCACTCAGCGCGCTCAGGAGATGCTCACTACCTCGGCAAGCACAACGCTAGTCTATCAGAGCGCCATCGGCTCAAGCTCATTGATTCGGTCGGTGGTTTCGCAGCCGGCTGTGCTTGTATCGATTCGGCATCGATCGCAGCCGGCCTGTGCCGATTCAGAAAGATATCAGCCTTCGCACACCAGCACCAGCAGCAACAACTCCGCTACGCCTCCAAAACGGAGCCGAACAGCGCTCCACCTGATCGATCTACATCGAAGGTGGCAACTTCGAAGCTTCAAAACAACGTCGGGGAACAAATGCTTCTTGAACATCACACTGATTGTGTACACTACCCTAAAAGAACGGGATGAACCTGTTTCGAAGCCCAGTGAAAGGCAGCGGTTATTACGTGAGGTGTCCACTTTATGAGGGAACAATGCTGATGATCTCATTCCCATGGCTCTTGACCACAACACAAAACTAGAAGATCTCTTCCGGTCAAACTTCAAACAATTATTCCGAGCATTCTCATGGTATAGACTGCTGTCAGCTGTCCTGTAACGTAGTAGGCTCCAGAGATAACTAGTAAATAAACAAGAACCCTCGGAATACGGCTCAACTTTGCTGATTACCACATGAAACCATTTGAAGTTTTCTACTAAAAGATCATTTCGCATGTCGAAGTCGGTCCCAAGCGCCAGCGCACTACTAAACGGGAGAGCTTTCACAGCGTTCGCTTTCCGGGAGAACTGAGCCTTAGCAGAGCGATTGATACGCCTTCAGGGAATACTTGTTATTCACTGCGAGAACCTCACACATCAGAAGCGGTTCAATTACTAATGTTGCAAAGGTTGCAAAAGCAGAGAGACCGTGGGGCCTTCTGACAAGCACAGTGCCGCACAGACTCAATCGGCAAATGAACAGAGCTTGAATGTAACGACCACGACAAAAAGGGAAAAGTGAGTCAGTGGCAACCGGCAAAGGAAAATGTTCAGGGAGAGGCTCGAACGGTGCAGGTCAGAATAGCAGAAGGTCAGGTGATGTCCAGCACAAGCTCAGCCGTCTGACCCTAACTGAAATCACCAATATCGGGCAGAAAGAGGGCTGTCCCCTATCGATCGGTAGTCAATGAGCGTGTGCGCAGTGTTGGACATCGACGATCGATCGGGGCGGGGCTTCCGGCCAACTACCGTATGCCGTCACCAGCCATCGATCCACTGCGATTGGAGACTGCCCGTAGACCTTTGCTGCTGTAAAAGTGGGGCACCGTAGTCGATCTGAAGGCGGACAGTAATTGGCATTCTGTGGGCCTCAATTCACTGAAAAGTCAACACTCCCCATAAAGTTCAGTCGCATCCCATATGGAAGCGAGTGACTCCCAACCTGTCAATGAAGTGTGAAAACTACAGCAAATCACCTACAGGTGACGTTTCAGGGAACAACTTCAAGACAACAGGCTAATATAAATGAGAGAGGAATGTATGAAAAATGCACCAAAATCATTGCTGGTATGGGCATAGCCTTGTAGAGCCTTGGCGAAATCTTTTCTGAATAGATCACAGCTAACTTTGTATTGCCTGACCGCAGGAACATTCTTTCAATATGGGATCCTTGTAAACCAATGACCGAAAAATCCAAAATGAACGCTGCTCCACATCGCCGAGTTATCTGTTCTATTCCTATCTTCAAACTCGACATCGTTTACATTACTGACTTCTACCCTTTTGATTGAACTTTCCGTTGTTCCTAGCCTCCTTACTGTGAAAAGAGGTTCAACATTTCACCTGTAGTCTACAGTAGCAAGATACCGTTTCTTTACACCAAACAAAACGAATGTTTCGACAGTGAACTGTATGAAGCAGCTTCATTCGAGAAAACAAATACTCAAGAGCGAGCAATTCATCGTTCTTTAGCCCGAGGCCAACGGGTCCCTGTCCCATAAGCTTACAGAATTTTCTCATTTACTTCATCCTATAGAGAAAACGCTGATTCTCAGTTCCTGAAGTAAAGTTCCTGAACATGCCTCTGAAGGGCATTTTCAGCAATTGATTACCAGCGTTGGATTAGCCGATCGATGCCTGGGTTCTCCTCCCAAAGGCAGAGCAGCGCTGAGCACGGCGCTCTGAAAAATCGAACAACGCCGATGATGTTAGACGATTCAAGTGGCTCAATCGCGTCTCACTCACACCGCACACAGAGCGCTGGATGCGGGTGTTTCATCAAAAACAGTACTGAACAGCAGTCATGATCTCGACAATCCTCAGTCGTAGGAGTCGAACAGTGAACCTTCCTGGACACGGCCTTTCACAGGAATCGTCACTAATGACAACTGTTCACTAAATCGTTAGATGTACCCCAAAAAGATTGAAGTAACCGTCAAGTGAATCGATGATGGCTTATCGAAAGACCTCTACTCGCATATTTATAAATTTTCAAAAACATGATCTCGAAAGAGGCGCACACCAACGACCGCAATTCAAAATTGGGAAGACCTCGACTTTCTCGAAACAATGTAATTTACCGATCAAAGGAAGGGCGTGGAACAGCTCAAAAAGAAAGAATATAGTGTGAATTTGGCCAACCAGTTATAGGCTGTAAAAAAAATCAGATGAGCAGGAAAGACCCAGCTAGAAAGGATTAGGGTCACACTAGTTCGATTGGATATCCTTTCGTGAAAAACAGCCTCACCAGGGAGATTCGTAAGTTGAGAGCAGATTTCGATTAGCGCGGCCTCCGTCGCCTTTCCTCTCACAGTCAGCTGATCGACTTCTTTTTGAAACGCTTTTATCAACGGCAGGGCGACACGCCGAGTCTCCTGAAACAGGAAGAAGGTAGGAGCCAAAATGAGGCAAAAACAGCTTTCAGAAAGTCAAATCTATCACTTGATACGAATGAAGATGAAGAAACTTTTAGAAGAGAGGTATGAGAAAATGCTAGTGACAATGGATATCGTTTCAATAGCCTTATTGCATTAGCGTCACGGGGAGTCAAACGATAAAATTCCCATCTACACCGTCTCTGTTCCACATTGAGCTAGCGATAGAACTTCAGAACAACTAGAAATTTGGAAAAAAAGGGAAGCAAAGGAGAAGCAGAGGAAGAAGAATCATTCACATTTTTCTGAAATTATTCATTTTTCAAGTAATCCCTCCTCATTCCCTAATCGACACTAGTTTCTTCACGCTCCGATATTTCGGAATAATAATTGGACCTCGAAATAACAATCGATCGACACAGCTCCGCAGCTCATGTGTCGATTTGCAGCATCGGCAGAATGACTCAAAGTGGCGATTACTGACGTTCACAATCCAGCTTCGTAGCAGATAACTCTGGAGCCCCCTAGCTGCGGATTTGAACAATCTGCCCCTTGTATCGCTGAGAAGGACTGGGAATTGCGATACGCTAGAATAGATCCACCTCAACACTTCACGCGTTATACCAGCGTAGAAGACAATAACGCTGAATACTCTTAATTAGGCGCGACAAAAAGGGAGATTCCAGCGAACTTAGGCTTTGAGAGGGCCGAATAGAGTACAGCCGACGCATACAACTTGGTCTAGGCCTAGTTGGGAAGCGATGAACAGATCTATGCAGGTCAACTCACCATTATCACTTTTTCAAAGGCTGATTCATTTTTAACTGAAAGTAAGAGCATGCCGCAAAAAATACACCAGCCTTTCAGAGGCAACCGCAACGCACTACAGGAGCCGTATTACGAATGGTACAGTTCTTTTCTTGAACATCGTGAATTAGACCACCAACTAGAGTGATGTCTCAGTAGGTTTCAGATAGCCTTCCCTAACATCTGACAAACATAGACAGCTTTGAAATATCTCAACTTTGCATGGAACGAAGTTGAACAGATTGGAGCTGAATCAGAAAATTCTATTTTTCCGAGCCTTCAAGAGCAAGGACTCGCTTAGAAAGCGGATTTCCATTGCTGGCATTATGCTTCTATTATATAAAAATTTGGTCAACAGCTTAAACGTATCTCAGCTGTAGCACTTATTCTAGAGCTTCATGACTGAAGCATGTGAGAAACCTTATAAAAACACGCGAGTCGATGATGTCCCACAAATGACAGAGACCTGATTGACTGGAATGAAGACCTGATTTTTTAGATCTTTGAATGAATCAAAAAAATTATAAATTTCATACATATTTGAGCACAGGAGAAAAGTGGTTCAGTAGAGGTACAACCAGGTAATATTAAAGAGAATGGAGACGCAAGAAAGTATCGATTATCACTCTACAAAGATGCAATGTGGCAGCCAAACGCATCATCGATGTTCGACATCAATATGTACCACAACAATACGACCGCAAGATGGAAATGACGGGTCTTCACCTAATAATGGGGCTAGAGGACCACATTGACTAGATTTTCACTTCATTTTCTTCCAAAATAGGTGAGAGTGCCCACATTCAAATCATTGTCAGGTCTAAATCCCTTTTGCTCTATAAAATTAATTGCTGGGGATTGCCGATAAGCAAACCAATGCATCTACATCTGGAGATGAGTGTGGTAACGTTTCACGGACTTCGAGATTTGTAAAACGTGGAAGGCTCAGTGAATTGGGCGAGTGACGATCTTTGAAGTGATCTATGACGTGTAGTGATAGCGCCACTTTTCACTCCCCCTTCGCGCCAAGAGTCATAACTAGTAAGTGACTGCAGTCATCTGGTGGGACGAAAAAATGAGAAGGTGCAAGGATTAGTCGTAGTGAGAGTTTCTGAATGATCGCCGTATTTCGTTAGAAGCGCTTGCCCTCGCAATTTCGGAAATTACAGCATTTGCAATATTAAACTTAATCCATGCTGTTTGCAAGCGTTGAGAATTTGCAAAACAAAAACGGCGTAGCTGTACCTCTGCTTGATGTGATCGATCGACTGATTGGGTAGAATTCGGCCCCAACCATCTGCTCGACATTATAATCCACCATGCTATATACAGCACAACCACAGCTGGCATAGAATTACGGGCAGGCATACAGCGACGCACTGACAGCCAACTAAAGATGATGGGGACACGTGCTCCACTGACTTTTAATCAGACGTTTATTTTTTTCACAATAGCACCGAAATAGGTGCCCGTCATTTTAAATTAATCGTAGTAGAAGAAATCCATAGGGAAATGCAATGAATTGGTAACATTTCATAGTGATGATAGTTGAAGAAGCTGGCAAAACCCGAAATTCAGGAATGAATGGAAAAGTTTGCTCATATAAAGAGATTTTGGGGAGAAAGGCAACGTATTCTGAATTTCACAAGCAAACCATCAGATCACATGGCTTTCAGCAAAGCAGAAAGAAGATGGAATAGCCACTGCTCAATGCAAAAAGATCTCACCCCTCTCGTCATTGGTAGCCATTACAAGATGGAATATAAGGAAAATAATCGCTCGTTTGCGATAAAATATGCGGTTGTAGTGATTTCATGATTTGNCCGGTTGACCAGAAGACTCATCGAAGATTGTTTCCAACTTTGAAGTATTGGGACGTGACGTGCATAGAACCGCTTAGGAAGACTCTAATGCAAAGTTCTGGCACAAGTTCCGACAGCCTTTAGCAATGATTTGCCAGGATTCGAACTCGTAAAAAGAACGTGTCGAATATGCGGAGTAGTGGGGCCATTACAGGTTCAAATAAGTAAGGGAGAAGAAGCCGGAGAGAGAAAGTAAAGAAAGCAAAGAAGAGCCTGCGCAGATAAGTGGGTAGGCTCCTTAAATAGAAGTTTCATGAAAACCTAACATATGTCTAGACTAATGCAAATTTTCGGTCACTTGAAGGACCTGATATTATGAAGAACCCTAGCGTGAGTGAGAAATGTATGCAGATTTGCGCAAGTTACCTTGGTAGTTATTTCGCGGTATTTGTTACTCTCATCGACAAGTATTTTACGCCCAACATCACCCTCATCTTGCCGTATCCCAATGGCTTTGATCTCTTCGTCCACGCGAATCTAAAACTCATTGTACAACTACGAAATACGCAGTAGTCGAAGAAGAGTGAAAAATACAGCGCAAACCGACCTGTACCTTTTCCCAGGAGACCGCTTTCCAACTTTTCAGAAAACTTTCCATTATCGAACAGGAAACTCTCAAAATGTTCTACAAGCCCATTCGGAGACCTGCAACAGCTTGAAGATTGGGTAATTCTAGGACCCTGAGAACACTTCGCACATTGGGTGAAAATGGAAAGTCTCTTAGGGCACCAGAAAATGAGAGTGAAACGTTAAACTGAAGCGAAAGCGAAAGAGATGACCAGAGGCTTTGAGTACTTGAACTACTGGCCAGAAAACATTGGCATGGGTTATCGAATTAGAGAACTTCTTTGAAGATCCATAGGTTTCCACGTCATAAACTTTTATTATCAACTAAGAAACATTATCTTACAGTACAGCTCCGACCCGAAAGATTAGGCAGAATTTTTTGCAAAAAAGCAAACTGTAGGTATAGCGAAAGTGTAATTAGAGCACCTTTGCACCACAGTCGTTTTATCACATACGATTTATAGTTTGTAACAGCGACAGCTCAATGCAAGAGTAGAACGTGAAGAAAGGAAGGAACAGCTAGGTGAAGCTGAGCGTAGAAAGGCAGTGAGTGAAAAGTTTGAGCTTAGTGAGAATAGCTAAGGTGAACTGACCAAGAAGCATAAACAAAAAATCAAGTGAGGTGCTAGGAAAAAGTAAAACGCGCTTGGTTAGCTGAAGAAATTAGTATTGCAAGTTACGAATGTGAATGCGATATTGCTGGGCGCATGAACCGCAGCCTGAATGCACACGAACTTCATCGAAGGGAATCTTTATCAAAAACTATAGCTATTATTGAACATTTGTACCGAACATAGTTGATACCTAAGAAACATTTCGAGATGATCTACAACCTAAACAAGCATACAGCTATTTCGACTTAATTAACTCTCGGTGATATTGTATCTCCAGTCATTGTATTTCCTGTAATCCTTTCGCAAATGGTAATCTTCCGGCAATTCTGCTAGCACTTTGGCAGCTTCAGCTTTGTAATCACGAACCTTCAGTTCTGCAAAAAATCCATCTTTACAGTGCAAAGAGAATAATTACTGTTAGAAACTGGTTAGCGTCAAGTGTCGAGATTATGCGGGAACCTTTCGCTTTGAACTCGACAAGTAAAATGGTTTTACCACTTAAACATCACCGGAAGAGATTGTTGCGCCATAGCTCACAGACTAGTTTAACCAAAACGTGACTTAAGGTAACCGCGAATTAGGGTATTGTCTAGGTATCAACTGCAACATTCCCAACTTATTTTATTCGCACAGTAAACAGCCGGAAATCATGACAAATCTTCTCCGCGGCAATGCGCGATACACAATTCTAATATCCGAAGAACATGTACCTGGTGCCGGGTGCTTGCTGTCGTGGACGTGTAGTTTGCTGAAGTATCCCAATTTTGGACGAGTGATATGTAGTTTCTCCTCTATGCATGCATCCAGCACTTTTTGTTCATCGCGGCAACTAAAATCAGCCGCTTTACTCTTCTGCTGCCGTAGAATTAGCGTTCCAAACAGATCATATGGTTAATTAAACTGATACATTTAAATAACATCATAAAATTGTTCCAAAACGACACTAAAACATCATGAAGACTTACATTTGCAGAGTTTTTTCTTTTTAACAGACTTTGTACAATATGCATCATAAAGTGTAAGGACTTATGGCGAAACTTGTGACGCACGCACTATCGAAGACAATGAAACGAGAAATCTCCGTAGCGATCTTGTCTGCTTCCCCTCCCACCAAGGTCCGGTCCAGACAGACACGGGAAACAATATTATTCATTTTACATACTTCGATATTCGCTTTTCTTTCCCATTTGACCTGGACTATCATATATTTCTCTCAATGTTGAAAATATTGAGGAATATATGACAGTCCAAGTCAAAACAGAACGAAAAAACGCAAATATCAAAATACGTAAAATAAATAATATGATTCCGCTTGACTAGACTCATGAAAACAGCGTCACTGAACGCGCTTTGGGAAGGATGATGCTCGGAATTTCCCTATACTTGCAAATGCAGCAGGGAATCCGGAGTTCCGAGCTCCGTTATCAGACGAAATCAGGAATCCCGCTGATTACGCCATCAAGTCGAAAATCGGATGGGCCAGACACCGACGAGACCCCCAAGGCGTCAAACGAGCACCAGCACGACCACCAGCGCGATGGTCAGACTTCTTCACGAGAGCGCTGATCAAAAAGGTTGCTATGGCCTTGCCTCCCTCGAGCGACAACGATCCACTGAACCCTTTAGCTCGCCACGGGGACAAATAGAGACGTAATGGGACCAGCTGAGGAAATGGATGCAACGGAACGAAAGATCAACTGATAGAGGTGTTTTTCTTACTGCGCTTGTCATGCTTCTACTCCTGCATGCATGAAGAAGTTAAGTTCAAAAGAAAGCTAAAATTTTGTAGCATTCGAACTCTTTTTGCGATTTAAACTGGGATTTGTAACAAACTGAGCAAAATGAAGGCATAGCCTATATGGCGCGGTTCGGGTTGAGCCACACAAACATCAGATACAGATAAATCGAAGATCTCGAATCCAGCTTCCTATTGAGTTCTTAGTTTCAACAATGCTGTATATAAGAAGACGCTTACCAGCTTATGTAAAGTTTGGCACTGCCATGATCAATGCAGTGGGCAAGTTTTTCGGTCTCTTGTGCGCAAGTTTTCTTCAATGACCGCAAGAAATCGACTCCGCACGCGGTCACTGCACTACCTAAATAAGAGTTCCTAGGGAAAATGACACAGAATGCAGGTTTTCATAGCAACGGTGTGGTAGAGTGCGTGAAATCACGCTTTCGCCTAAGGCAACCACTGAACACCGTCGTTACAAAAATGAAAAGAAGCAACCAGTGTGCTTAACGCATTGTTGAGTCAGAATCACGAAATCCATTACCAAATACCAAAAAAAAGAAAATGTTTCCACATCATTGGGTAGACAGTAAAGACAAAAACCCTATAATCACTCGAAAGAATTAGAATGAGGAAAGACCGAAAATGATTGACAACGAATGGATAAAGAAAAAAAGTAATGATAACAGCACAAGTAATGAAAGCAAAAGCTAATATGGAGGAAAACCGAGAAACCAACTATATCTATCCGAAGATACCACACAAACAGGAATCATTAGCTTGAGCTATTACTGAGCGTTGAATATTTCCTTGGAGTTTGGAAAGTTTCCAATAGTACACGCTTTGAAGCTTACCTTCTTTGAGGGTTGCACGAGGATCTTGCAGTTCTTTACGACGGAGCATGAACTCCTAAAGCAGGAGTCAGAAACAAAAGTGTTTCACATAGCATAACAACTGATAATATGTTCTAACTTAAAATTTTTACAATAAATAATAGATTATTTACTAAACAAATTTATTAAGTTGGCGTTATTCTCAACAGGAAGAACTTCTTATCCTAGCATATGGGGAAGGGAAGAAGGACGGTGACAGAAAAGTGTTCAGAACCTTCAATCCCTCACTTTAACGTTGCGCTCCAGCCCGTGTAGACCACCAACTCTAGAAAGGTTCTGGAAATGCAGTACAAGCAAAAAGTAAGGCCAATTGCATCCTATTACACTGTTTCAACAGTGCAATAGGATGAGGATGAGGCTGCTGAATCAATCATTCAACTTTTGCGCAAATTCAAAGGTCACGGTCGATGTGCCATATCTGAAGCCGCTCAAGCCGCATGAATGAAGAGAGGGGCCTACTTTGTAAGTTAATGAGAAAGGAAAAGATTTAGAAGCTTGTGCTCAAGAATTTAAGCTTAGAAGGTTGCATTAGTTTCTGAGGAAAAAGAGGTCGTGCTTGCAAAGGCCGTCGATACAGACGAACTCTATGTACTCTCCCCCCCCCCCCCCCCCCCTCCTTCTTCAACAAGTCGCCGTTTTTTGTAAGTTGCCCAAAGCGAAGAAATTAGTTTCTACACGTACTTGACTACGTACTTGGTTCCGAATGTGAAAGATGAGAAAACAAAAACAAGAAAGAACACACGTTTATTATTTCTTCACAGTGTTTTGCCATGTAAGGAGCTACTGCTTTGAACCATGGCGTGGAGAGCGTGATCTCTTGAGGAACCGTCAATTCCTCATCAGTTGGCAAGTTCAAGTCCTTGGTTAAAACCATGGCAGCCCTGAAATTATAGGCAGAACAGATCTACTTCCTGAACCATGTATTGCGATGAGTCCAGAGTGTGCCATACAATACTTTGACCCGTAGAATGACTCTAGAAAGCAGCCGTGCACATAAGTACTATTGAATTTCTTGGTGTTTCAAGCAAAAAAAAAATCCCCTTATAAGTTCCACACCGTTAGCTCAACAGGAAAGAAAGCGCGTTAAAAACGAAGTGGACCCACTGGCCCACTACGTTCTCTTGTACTAAAATTTCCGCTCTAAAAATGGCGCCGAGTAAACCCGATGTGTAAAGTTTGTGGGCTCTATCAATTCAAAAAATAAGCTTTGTGAAAGGGATTCAAATAGTGAAATTGTCAATTCTTTCTTCCAATTTGAGTTTCTCGTAATGAAAATCAATCTGAAAAATTTGAAATCATCTTTAAAAGAAAAAAGTCGAGTTATACAAAACCGATCGTACTAAAGTCTGAAATGGCTCATGTTGTAACCATTACCTGATAAACGCGAAGTTTGTGGAATATAAACAGCAGAATTGTGAACGCCCACGTGGCGGCCGTTGCGATAGAGCACGTTATTGCAGAATGAGTGCAAAGTATTTAATAAATGATAGATAAGTTCAACCGTGTGAGTTCAGTGAGTTATTCTTTAAAGGACCTTTGAGTTGCCCAAATTTCCATTTGGTCCACTGGTTATCATCAATGATAGCCTCCGATCACTCAAAAACGAGTATGTGTGAAAGATGTGTTACTTTTATGAAGTTAACCATCTTCCCTTCGTTTCTGTGCACCCAGTAATGATTAATGCTAAACGAAAGCCAAGATTACCCAACGTTCGCGTAACTTGCTCTCGACAGAGAACGTTAACTGAAAAAACCGAACACTTATCGAACACTGCCCTCTGTCTTGAACAAGCTGCTAGCGCTAACAGGAATCTGACATACTGGTACAAAAACCCTTGCAAGATAAGCCAAGGATTGCAGTTTGCAGCAAACTAAATGGATGTCAGCTCTCCCTACAGGGAATAGCCGAGCGCTTTGAAGTCCTGAAAAGTGAAATGCTACCAAGGGTCAAAAGGACCAACGATTAAGTCTATGATACAGCTTTCCTTCTTCGGGGCCGACATCCATCGGTAACCACGTCTTCTGCCTTCGGGACAATGCAGAGTATAAACGTAGCCAAACTGGTTGAGATATCAGATGATTCGAGAGAAAAGGTGCGCATCAGACTTTATGTAGGTGGAACCCCGAGCATATTCAAACTGAGCAACCGACTAGACCTTTTTGGGGTTGGTCAATCGCATCCTCCCAGAACGCACCTATCCGCAATCGCAGGGACATTTGAATGTATATGTAGTCCTCAGGTACATATGCATTTAAATGGTCAATGATTTGCAGTGACCAGTCGATGTATAATACAAGCCATAAAGGTGTGGTAGCAATGAATTGGTGTCGATGAGGAGGCGCCTTGGTTGCCTGGGCAGTTATCGTTCCCGAATTACCTCCTTAATTGCAGCATTCCCGGAAATATTAGGAAGCCATTTGATGTCATATTAAACGGGAAGTAGAAGAAATAATGAAAGGAATCTCATTAAACAACGCAAGATTATACTGCCAGCACATCACAAGAACTTAAACGCAGTACAGGGCAACGTCGGACAGCAGACGGCTGCGAGGCTGTCTTAGCGGTAGAGCACGTTTTTACCCAGTAGAGAAAGAGTGTTCTACGTTGATGCTGATTTTTTTTCTAGTTTCTGCTGGTATAATTAGCTGGTTCGCTAATATTGTTCCTTTGTTCCGTTTTCTTTTACTGGGGGCCATTCGGTCTTCTATTGTGGCCCTCAGGAGTGGCAAGTGGCCAAGTGAAGCACCACATGCAGGGTCACGGGTTCGAATATCGGATCCATATCCGCCTAAGCCCACCAAGTCTTCCATCCCTCCGCAGCTAACTGGTACCAGACCCGTATGGGAGGATAAAAGCAGCGACTTGTACATCGGCTGGCCACCGCAAGTCATTGTTCAATACGCCACCAGGATTCTTGTTGGAAATCGAATGCGTTGGCGCATCCCTCTGACGGGCTTGATTAACGCCCCAAGACTTGGGGCTTTATAATTCGCTCGATCGCCGGCGTGTCCGGCCCACCAGGTCTTTGGTTTCTTGGCGGAAGCAATGGTATTCCTAATCTTTGTTCGATGACGGAGCTCGGGACTACGGAGTCTCACTTGTGTGTATAGGGAGATTCCAAGTATCGCCCTTTCCAAAGCGCTTTGAGTAACACTGACAACATGTTCATCCTGTTTTCGTAGAGTCCAAGTCTTGAGGTGAGCGTCAAAGCAGGAAGGACAGCAGTGTCAAAAAGGTGAGCGCGTAGCCGGATGTTTTCTGTTTTCTTGACTGCTCCTTCGATCTCCTCAAAAGCTCCCTGCAACCCGTGTTTCTTCGTGCTTAGCTACGGAGCTAGGTCCTTCGTCATATTGATTCCTAGATTCACATATCGAGCATTCAGAGATACGGTATCCTGTGGTCCCACGATACTTCAATGAGCCTTGTGACAGTAGAGATGTGGTCGGTTCTGCTGAATCCTCTCCGAAGCCCTGCTTGCTCGCATGGCTGTCCTCCAACTAGTATTCTGCCAATCCTGTTACGGACGACAAATCGGTCTTCAGGTAGACGTGACTGTCGAAGAGATCCAAATTGAAGTCGTAGATGGCTTTTTCGACCGCCTTTCGAGATCCAGTAAATGTTCGTTCGGAACAACGAAAGGAAGTCATTTCGTCTTGTAGTTGACGGTGCTACGGTGGGCTTTGGGAATGCTGTTCCCGGGCTCAGCAGCTTCGGCCAGGACTNCTGCTCTTCTCTTTTTCAGGTCTTCCTTTACCACTGTATAGCTTCCCAACAACGGATGTTTAATGACAAGGGCCTGTAGCTCCCGCAATCCCTGCTGGTGAATCAGCTCGAGAGTCTTCGAAGAGAGAAGTCCTTCGGCTACTTGTAGGTTCACTGCTTACCCAGCACTATGGTAAGTGTTCGGCGAGCCAGTTGTATTCCTCATTGATGCTGTTGATGAAGGAATTTTCTTAGAAATATGCAGGGGATGCGAAGAATCCGTTACCTTAAGGCAGTCGTATCGAAGAAGTCCCAGTCGATGACCGTCTTGAGCCTTCGTTTCTCAAATTCCGCAGTTCTCCCTTGACGCAGTGAAAAACAGAGTCCAGTGCGAGAAAGACGATGGTCCGCTCCAGTTTAGAACTTCGCAACAGAAACGACGTAATCAGGAGAAACTTTCGATTGAAGATGTGATCTATATCATTATGGAAATGTAACTGAACAGAAGTCATCCAGAGAAACATATCAGGAAAACACAAAACCGAGCGAGAGCTCAATAATCCTATGCGGAGCGGCTGTTTCCCTGAAATAAAATGCTCCAGCGCGATAACCGCGATTCGACCGCCTTAAGGTAAGGGTTGTTCCATTCTGGCGCCCTTCGACAATGCAACAAATTGGGCGTTCAAGTTTATTTCGAGGCATCTCGAGGACCATGTGGTATCGAGAGTCTTGCCTGTACTTTGTCTTCAGCAGCCTGCAGGACGCTTACACTCAATGTCCTCCCGAACTGGTGAGCGCCAGTGGGGAACCTGCGCAGGCTATTATAACATTCATTACTTCATTTTAATAAAAGAGTGGTTTCACTTCCGGTCTTGCTGAAGCTTCATTATTTAATCTGGTGCTATCTCCTATTATGTGAGATCGAAGTAAATTTTCATGGTTTAGGTGCAGAATTTGAAGGGCAAGTTTGTTTATGTCAACTTCAATTCGCTTGAAATATGCTTGAGAAGTGCGGTTCTCGCCCGATGGTAGCTGGGGTTAGGAACTGCAGGAATGAAATCTGTCAGTCTTTACTAGTCACATATCTTTACTTTGAATTACTTTTATCACCCAACTTCTGAATTGGTCAGGTTCTCGCGCACTCTTCTTACTAGTGCAACTAAAAGTTACTTTTTTGTTTTCTTTCCAAAGTTTGTTTGTTTTTTTGTTTCTTTTATTTTTCTAACTTCATTTGTTCACCTTCCTTTCCAGGGCAGGTCAAGAAGCGGTGAAAATATGTCTATAGTAAACGAAGATGAAGCTCCTGTTTAGACTTCCTTACAGTTTGACCTTATATTCCGCGTTTAATCATACCTTCAAAGAAGGCCTTCAAGCGTTTTCTCCTCTCAAGAAGATCTCACGCGATTGGCGAATAGCTGAATGAAAATGATATGATTTCGGATCGGAATCTCCAGTCATTATGCCTACTCTCTACGTCGTGGTCTAGCATCTCGAATCAGTCTCCTTTGTATCCGCTTTCACTTTCCCACGATTCGCCTAAGCCAGGTTTTCGACGTGAGTCAGCTTTCAGATGGCTTCAAGCGAGCCTCCACCAGCAGTTACAAATGGGCTGGTGGTACCGATAGTTATTTGGGGAAAAAAACCACCGGACAACAGAATGACTGCGGTTCGATATTTAAGTGATAGAACCACTATAGTCACAGGTATGTAGCCAAGCAAAGTGTTATCAAAAATTTATTCTGTTTATACTCCCGTTCGTTCAGTGATCTACATTTCTACAGGTGATCTGAGCGGCCATGTAATCACATGGAAATGTGACGAAGAGTACCTGACACCCTGTCAGCTTATGATTGGGCATGACGCTCCCATTACTGCAATTTCACCTACCAATCACCAGCCATCGTCGACGTAGGTTTCTTACAAACAACTTTTTACCTTACATTTCATTTCAACATGAACATTTCGTCCTTAAAAGCACTGTTCACGATGAACGTGATATTTTTAATTTATTTTCGGCTTCTATGGGTTTAGTATCGCCTCGCTTGCTGATCAATGTGAAGGGAACTCATTGGTAATCCGTTCACCATTCGCTAGCTTAGCATACCATATAAAAGCCCTGAAACTAATCAAATTTTGGCTTGATCGTAATTCGTTTTGAACTTCGTGTAACTATCTTTCAGTCGTGTAGTAACTTGGCCCTTTGTAGGCGATTTATTACTGCATCCTCTGATGGTCATCTGTGCTTATGGGATCTTCAAGATGGTCGTTGTGTTGATTCAGTGTCATCATTGTATGTTCACCGCTATATGCAGCCTTATGTTAGTGGTGCGATTTCATTCTTTGCAGTCTGGTAACTGCTTTTTGACGATGTTTCCTTTTTTGTTGTCTTGAATTACAGACTTACAAGTCTTCTCGTCATACGAGATCAACACGACTGTTCTGCATCGGCGACTACAGCGACATTGTAGTCCTTGATCCTCAAGACCTCACAGTCGTGTTTCAGCTGAGTTCAAGGTTAGTCAACTGAGGCATATGCGATTATCTATGTAATATCACGGCATTGAAGGGTGGAACCTGATTGGGTCTGTTCCTATGAAATTGTGCACAGAACCAATAAATCAGAGCAATGCATCGGTATCTCAATGGCAGGAATGATCAAAGTGTGGTCATTGATGGAGCTGGAGAAAAAGGTATTCATTAAGGGTACCTTTCATTTCCTGATAGATTCGGTCCGTAATTTTTTGAACACTTCGAATTTTTGCAGTTTCATTCTAAAATTATTATATTATTTTTTTTNTTTTTTTTGTTTTTTACACGTTCATTTCGTTTATTGCTTTTTTCGTCTGAAGGAACCCTTTTTTAATCTAAAAGAGCCCCTCCGAATCTGACACGGGCAAGGCATCAGCTATGATGGCCGCTTTGGGCTGAAAGAGTTTCCATTGCAACACTCCCTGATGTAGCACAAGTTGTTCAGAAATGCCCCTCTTTCGGTGAAATTAGTTTTGAACTCTTGAGGCTTGCCCCCACTATTTTTAGGGAAGACAACAGAAACCAAAGACCAAAAAAGCTTCCTCTTGAACTTTTCTTTATTACTTTGACTTTTATTCTCATTTTTACTTTCTCTATTATTCTCGTCGTTCCTTTCGCGTTCCCATGTGGTTCCATATAATTTGAGAAAAAAGTGGGATTACTATCTGAAGTACTGGAAGTTTATCAGTGAGTCCGTTGTTTGAAGGATCTCGCCACACCTCTGTACGAAGATGAGTCTAAAAGACTAGAATTGAGAGATGTCAAAGCTATTTCTTTCAACCCTGTTAATGAGCGACTCCTTCTCATTATTTGCTCGACAAATTGGCAGGTATAGTTATGTTCATGTTTTACGTTTCATATTATTGGCTTTTTTATATTATCGTTAAGAACTTTGCGTTCAGCTTATCGATCTCGATGATTTATCTGTTATCATCATTCACAACTGTTCGGGTAGGGCTGTGAATGGAAAAATTTTGGATGTCGACAAGATAGCGGTGGCATTTGCAGATCACACTCTCAGAGTCTATCAACTTCCCCTTGAGTAAGTAGCAGCTAGTTTTTTTTTGTACACGTTTTTTTCTCACTCTTAATCGAAGACTTGCAGGAAGCTAGAGGGCGCCCAAGTGAGGCAACGCTTTGGTGAAACCCCAAAAAATTATCTGGGAATTTCAGACCCGTTCGAATTCGCATTATGGGAGGGCTCTAGATCGAACGTTTGCTCGGTAATCATTTCCGGCCTTCTATTTGACCATTACATTATTCTCATACATAGTTGACAAAACGTGGATAATCGTAATTCACAATTTGAGCTGAGTAAGTTTTCAGTGGTTGAACGACGTTACTTTCGCTTTTGCTCCACAACGGAGCGACCACTCGGTATTCCAAGCTGCCCAGGCTACGCAATCTGGCCAACTGCTTATATGGAGGATCCCACGGTTTGGCGAAGAGGTTTACGAAAAATTTTCGTCTCCGGCACAATTTCCCCTCAGTAAGGTTTTCTGTTCCCTACCTTTTTCGAAATAGTTGGGAGAATGTCACTCATTATAGAGTACAGGGGCAGCTTCGAAGAGGCTTTGTCTTCAATGTGGGTGAATCCTACAGAGAAGGAGTCAATATCTATGGGAGTAATGGTAAGACTTCTTCATATATTGAGGCATCAAAGCAACTAACGATTCCAGGATTTCGGAGGAATCACTTGCTCGTTGTTCGTCAGCAGCCAAGGCAAATTAATAATGGGAAGGTCGGACGGTCTTATTGTAATGACCAATGCATGCGAGAGCTTAGGCAGACAACTGCTCAATGTGAACTTGGAAAAGCCATCGTTGCGTTACTTGAATGGACATAAGGGTGCAGTCAGGTAAAAAAAATAGTTTTCTGTATCACAACTGTAGACCCGACGTACCTGTCGTCCTAGTTCTTATTAAGATTTAGTTAAAATAGTGTTGTATATTCCGTATCAGTTATTGAGAGTTATTTCTTGTTACTCAGTTCTTATCATGAACCACACCCGATGCTAGAAGAAACATTAAGGAGGTGATCGAATCTAAAGCCCGTTTCTCTCTCTCAAAAAAAAAAACATTTGTGCAAGAAAGCGAAAGTGCAGCTTACATCACAACTTCAATACATTGGTTAAAGAGCCTTTTTTAGCAATCTCCTTTATCCGCACGAACATCATCCACGATTCGATTCAGAAGTTTTGGTATCTGGCGCAGAAGATTTTGCTGTAATTGTGTGGAACATCAACACTGTAGAAAAGCTTCGTTGTTTTACCGTTCATGGTGGTCCGATTCTTCGTTTTCTTGTACCTCCACCGAATACAACGGTATGTTTTGTTACGATAGGAGAATTATCGCTAGTTTAGTTTTTAGGCCAGTGCGCATTACTAACCGTTAACCATTAGTTTGGCAACTGAGTCACCTTTTTGGGACTTATTTAGTCATTTAAAAAGGTAGAGGATGAAGTCTTTGGCATTGCATTGGGGTGCGTCCCGTATCGACTTTCACTCATGATCGTATTGGTGGTTTAAATGAATGTGTGGCCTATACAATGAAATCAGTTGCCAACTTAGTAGTTTAACGCATCGAACTATTGGTAAAACACACGATGGTTTAGAAACAAGTGAACAAATGCATATGTGCGATTGCCGCAGATCACAGTGTGAGCCTGTTGAATATTCGAGATATGAAGTGCGTTCTGTTAGCCTCACGACATCCATACCCAGTCAGTCTTGTGAAGTGGCGACCACTTGACGATTATATGTTAGTGCGACTGGACGATGGCAGCGTTTTCGTGTGGGAAATGGATATAGGTAGGCAAATTTTCATCCAATTTTGAAGTGGTCAAGTTTGCTCTCTTTTTGTCTTTCCTTCTTTTCCTCAGTAAGTCCTTGGATCGAGCGGGTTATGTATGCTCAGAGTCTTACTCACTAAAGACGTTGTCAATTTTGGTCGTCCACTGTCCTTCAGTAAACAGTTTCCAGCTACCTTGGATCGGGTCGTCTTTGGTGTAATCGCTGAAGAGTTTCTGTCTGCGTGTGACGAACAGATTGGAAAAGAAGAAGGCACTGATCAGACAGTAGCTCCCCAGGCAATCGTACTAATGCGCACACTGCGTTATCGAGGAATGGATATGGCAAGTTGCGCGTTTTGCTGACAATGAATGACCTTTATGCCCTCAAATATTCAGATGAGAGGGCGTCTAGGCACACCAGATCCAATTAACGCACAGAGTGACAGCCCATCGCCTTCACCAGAAATGAATACAGTGCAGCTTTCTCCCCCTATGTCCATCACTCCTCTACCTGGCAGTGATCGAGGCGCTCATCTGGTTCAAATAGATGTAAGCTAAGTGTTTTTGATAAGTCCAGTCTGATTCTAGGTAGACTTCTAGGTTGGCAGTCTAATCGGCGGCATTGTCCACCTTGATTCTGCTGAAGAGGCTGTTTACAACGAGCGACGAATTTCCCAAGCCACCCCGAAGCAGGATTCGGAAGAAAACGCGCCAAGTGCCGAGTTATCGCGGTGACTAAATTCAGAATTACTTTTATTCTTGAATGCTTACTTTTACATAGCCATTACAACAAACGCCAGCAATCGTTAAGTTTAGGAACTCATTGAACTTGTATTTTTACTGTTGCGACGTTATAAACTCCCTCAGCAACGTTTGAATCACGCTCCATTATCTAATCAATTATCTTCAGTAAAGTTAATGATGTAATTATAGTCGTCTTGCATGGCAATTTGAATCGAACCTCTATCTGGATATTGCTCGGCTACTGCTTTCCCTTTTGCATGGCTGGAATCTTGACAATGATCTCGATGCTGTATGCATCAAAAAGCTTGGTCTCAATAAGCCAAAGGGACAGCTCTATTTCGGAAATGTTTCAAGACAAGGTTGGTAGAAATTCGGTGCTTTCTAACTAGCGCACCTACTTACTACCTGACTTTCAGGTCAACTTTCTGTCACCCTCCCTCAGAAAAATGAGCAGTCATTTGACCGGTTTTCTACTGGAGTACGATGGCAGGTTGGTATCGCCTACCACATTTCACGACCTCGCTCATAGTTTTCTTTGCAGGCAAGTCATTCATTAACCACAACTCATTTACTTGCCATAATCGCTACAGCAAACACTCTAATGGGTATGAAAAATGCGGCTACACAAGTCGAGTACGTGAAATTTACTTCCAAAAACCTGTGCATCGCAGTTTTCGATCTTTAAAAACGCATTTTGATCAACTACAACTGAAAGTGAAATCTGATAACTATCCAAACAAGTTTCAGAAAATTCATTAAGCTGAATTTCGGATGCTCGAGTAGTATTTGCTAACTTTCAGAAATACGCGGAAGGGCACATTTGCACCACAGACGCAATCAGCGAAGAAGCTCACTCCAGAAGGTGTGATTAGTGAAAGGCAACAACTGAAGCAAGGTTAATCGGAATTACATACGATTTAAAATTTTTTGTTGAAGAGCCAGTCCTTTGAAGTGTTCGCGTGGAAGATTCATATGACTATGATGAGATACACTTTTCTATAGTAGCTAGAAGGACAGTTCTATTTTTATCACGGTTCTATAAAACAAAAAAATCATGAAAATCGCTTTATATCTGTTCTAGGATGGAGCCTTCTTGCTGCTTTACACTGCGTTCTTCTTCCTGACCACGTGCGTCCTCGAAGCAGTTATGCCGCTCCGCGAATAGAACTTCTCGCCAGACGGTTGGTAATGATAATAGATTATGGCGGGAACATGATGATGAAGAACATGACTCGTTTCCTTTCCAACTAGGGTGGTGCGAATAAGTGTGGTACTATCCTATGTAGATAAATGCCGTTCAAACTGAAGTTGATTTCAATCGCAAGTTCTAACTGAATTCATGCGAGTGTAATTCAGGTGGCAAGACAGTTGCGTTGAAATCCGAGAGGCCGCCCAAGCACTTTTAATAAGAGAGCTGTCCCGGTTAGGCTCTGCTGGGCGACGACGCTTGGTTGAATCGTGGACGCCATTTCTTCCACCGCTGCTTGATCCGGCGCTTTCGATTTTCGGTTAGTTTAATAAATTTGCTTCATCCTTTCTACTCCTCAGATCTATTTTCGCAACGGACTTTTCCAATGTTTTGTTCGATTACCTTGCGAAGAGTGCCTCTGCTGTGATTCACAAAAAAACATTCCAGTGTTCTGGTCTCACTGAAGAATTTGTGGAAGTTTTATAGAGATCATGTTGGACTTTTAGCAAGTCCTAGTATACGAGTTGATAGCTAACGATGTGATATGATTGTGAATCCTTTATCAGGGGGAGATATTACAGATTCGTTCAGCTAACCTTTCGGCGTCGTCACAGCTACTACCTAATACTTCTGAGACTCTGACGTAGGCGAGAAGGACTTAGCTGAATAAAATTGTAAAATTTATATACATACATTGATAAAGTTAGGGCTTCAGAATCACGTCGAAGACATCAATACAGCATTCAAAGATTTACTAGAAGTCGAACATGGTCTCCTCTAGAAGATGTACCGACCAATTACTTTTGACTTGTCAGGGAGTTCCTGGATATCTTATCGAATAGTGGAACTTTCAGGCGCCCGTTTGCAGTCGTCTGTTCCAACCTTACCACCGTCAGCGCCACCAATCCCACCAAGGCAGAAGAATTCGCCTCCCCCTCTTGCGCCTGTACCTGGTACTGCTCTGATGACGTTTTCATATGTTTCTTTATGTTTTGATACCATTCACTGATATTAACGTGCATGGCCTTCACAAGCAAAATCAGACCTACGTGGAATTTTCGCACAGTGAGCTAAACGAGGTCTTCATACAAACTGAAAAATGCGGTCCAGTATTGGGTAGATCCAGTATTGGAAATGACGACTAAGGATGTTGTAGAGCCATCGATCGGAGAAGATGGGGAGTCTGGTGTGCAGCAAGTTCGTCGTAATCAAGCAACAGCGATAATTCTTCTCGGCGTTGTCGGAGCAGAATTCGGTGATGAGTTTCGGTGAGCGGTAAATCCCGAACGTCGATTCGAGAAATACCAACGGGAGAGAAGAATAGTTTTCAGGGCGGAGCTAATGAGAGCAACAGCTCTGTCGTTGCTAGAGTTGTTGGTAGCTGCGCCGTCACCACTTTTGCCGGTGCATTCACCATTACGTCGTGCTGCGATTGACCTGCTTGGACGAGGATTTGTACATTGGGAACCACATCTGGAAATCAGTAAAGTCGTGCTGGGCCTGCTCGACCTGGCTGCTAATACGGATAAACAACCACCGTGAGCTGATCCAACCTGTATTTCTATCTTCTCTGCTTCTGCTTTTTTTGCGACGACGATAGTTCCTCTCACCGATTATTTATTTCCTTTCTGTTCTAGTTCCTAATGTTGAACAGTAGTCTCGCTTCCACCATCCATTATCGTTTACCAAGTTTAGTTTCGTCGATTCATCGATCCGTGACTTTCAGTCCTCCTATTGTTGGTGCACCATTATCCCCAATTGCCGATGCTTGCCGTACAGCTCGACATGCCCTCACCTTAATCGCTACCGCACGTCCGACTGCTTTATTGTCGGCTTTGAGTATGGAAGTACGTTATTTCGAAATATTCTGGTGCCCACAATTTCGAATACTTAGATATGTGTTTCACTTTTGATGCTTGCGATGACGACACGTTTTTCAAGGTTGCTCGGTATAATTCAGCAGCTCAACATCAGACCATTCAACACACGGTGGTTAGCCCATTGCTGAAATCCCGTTCAGAAGTCAGTTTTGATTGGTGTTGAACTGGATATTGGCGATAATCTTGAGAATATTTTAAGGTTCTACGAATAATTGAAGAGCTGTCTGAAAAACGCTATGCTGAAGTCGTGGAGATGATGCTGCCTGTTGGCGATATTTTAGTTCACTGCCTAGATACTTCATTGCTTAAGCAGAAAACACTTTCCGAGATCTTCCCACCAATTACCAAGTTGGTTGTTAGGAAGGACATACAACGTGTTCTTGTTTTTGTTTTGTAATTAATTGAGTATGCAGCACAAGCTTCAGGTTTTTCATGGTTGCTTATTGTTCATCGACCCGACGAATAGCATTTGGTGGCAAAAACGGTACATGTGTTGTTCATGAACTTCGAGCTGCGAAAGCACACGTAAGACTTCTGGATTTTGATGATAGAACAGCATTAGCGATGGTGAAGAAGGACGTTTCTTCTTGACCTTTCACTGCCCATAACTTTACTTATTCTAAGTTCCCTAAAGAGCCAAAATTAACTGTAACATAGCAGGAGGACGTATTTCATAATTTCTCCTGGATTCAGAATCTGCAAGCACACCAAGGCCCTGTCGCTGCGGTTGCATTCTCAGAGGATGGCAAATATCTGGCTACTTACGGGGAACAAGACTCCAAAATTAATTTTTGGCAGACAAGTCAAACATTCCTGGTGACTAGTCAACCTTCTTTATCCTTGTAATGTAAGGTAGCCATATCAATTATCGAACATTATCACATTGCAGGGAATGGGACAAAATCAAATGAAATTGGTGAAAAGTCAGCCGGCTCCTTCACTTGCTGCCTTCAGTCCGAATGGAACCGTCAGCACTTTTCGACCAAAACTGGTATGGATAAATTTGAAATCGTTGACGCTCATGATGCCCGAGGGACGTGAGCAGCGTTTTACTGTGTAATTGTTCCACTCATTCTCCCTATTTCGAGATTCTCGCTGATGAAAGTACTCTTTTTTGTTAGCTACCGACTCTATTGTCTATGTTTTCATGTTTCTATGTTGACCAAGGTTAGAGCTAGGATGGGCAGACATATGCTATCGACCAAAGAATGACGGGTTAGCGTTGTGAAAGCTTTGACCGCCAATCTACAAGCAGATCTAATAAGTTCTTGGAGCCAGTGGTTAGGTAATGGCTGCAGGCTAATGTACATTCCCATCGACAACTGTACCAGCTCAGCGTTTTTAGTCGTTCATCGCTTCAGATAATGTTATTGATTAGATCTATAGAGAACCTCCTGCGTCGAAGCGCAACAGCTTTTCTAAAACGGCATGTTCCATAGATTTGTCAGGCCGGCGAGGCTCTGCTCTCGTAAGCGCACGCTGAAACGGACAAGCGTATTTCTTAGAAGCTTAAGCGCTCCCCGTAGTTCTTCGTAGCAATTGGGCATCAACAAAACCATAGTTACAACCATTCACAAGCGACAACTCCTAGTGCTTTCCACAGATACCCTGATTAGTGCATGCGTTTTGTTGAAAGTTTTCCGTCCAATTCTCAGTAGATATCTAGTCAATTGCTCTCTTTTTAACCCCTCCGTACCCAGGATAAAACTCAATTTTATATTCGTCGGTAATTTGCCAGCTTTACTGTACAGGCTCGTGGTCTTATTCTTGTTGCTTCTCGAAGTTGAAGTATCAAATGTTCACGGTGAATAGAAGTCGCGTGTGTTCATAAGCAGTAGGTAGACAGTGGTTATGTAGAAGAACTAGTGCTCCATTTGTGTTGTGCCTAGAAAATAGCCGCACATATAATGACTGATCGTTTTCCCTTGCCCGTACCCACGTTCATTTCTAGTTCGTTTCGAAATCCTCTGCGAGGAGAATATGGTTTTATATCGATACGAAGTGGTGTTAAACTCTAGTCGAGCCAAATATATACGCTTAATTTATTTTTTGAGATTATCCGCTCTCATTCCACTTAAATTTGTATATTGTACGTTCTTATTTGATGTTCTTGATGTTTTCGTTTTATTTAATGTAAGTATAATAAGAGTACGAGTTAGAATCATTCCAGAGCACTGCCCAGTGTTGTGAGTTTCGTGATACATGCTGCTTATTCGTCGTTGTTTTCGTCTTACTCGTTAGAGCGCTTTTGCATGGTCACTTTCTCCATTCTCTGTGCGTTGCTTACAGAAGGGTGACTTATTGCCAAATTGATTACTTACAAATGTTTGCAGAGATTTCTCATCAATGTTGAACGTAATGGAATAGTTTATGGTTGTTCTCGTAATTATAAATGTTCGCGAATGATGGTTTGTATTATTTTTGTGTGAAAATTATTCTTATTCAGTCGATAGGTGTTGTCGGTATGAGAGCCGACTGATCATAGATTGGAAATTTGGATTCAAATTCAAGTCATATGCCATCCATTGTTATAGATCGAGTGCCACGAACGCACGTGCGGTCTAACGGGTAGGATGTTTTCCCTAGAACATCTATTGCAGGGAGGCAACACCATGCGACGGACTATTGTGAACCTTGTGTTGCTACGAAGGGGTTTTCTTGTTGTGGGCGTCCTTATTCGGGCGTAAGAGAAAGTGATATCAGAAGCAACGGGTGCGACACGAGCAACACTCCTACAAGACTTCGAAGGAACATCACGGGCGTAATGACACAGCGATCGCAGTCACACTTCTTTTGTGACTATAATTTTAAAAATAACAAATCTGAACATCCTGAGATGTTGAAGCTGTGACTTTCAATGGAAACATCTACAAGGTTATGACTTTTCAATGGAATATCCCACCAAAGCTCACGCTGAGACCTAAACACGACTACACCCTCCCGACTACATGGGGTTGAACAGCTTAACAGGGGAAGAGCCAGCGCGGGTGCCGCGACAACCGGTTACCGGTTCAACGATCTACAGTGCGGGCGTGCTCATTCGAGGTAACCGTCACTATGCGGTGTTTAATTCTACTGGTCGCCGTTATCAACTGGGCTGAATGCCAAGAGTCACAAGCACAGGTGAATTCTATTTCATGATCCTTGTAAGCTGAGGGTGCTGAGAAGCCTACGAGCAGCCCGCGTTCATACAACGGCATCCTCATCTTTATTGAATTTTTATTTTCGTTCTAGCGAAGCAAATGCGAATGTTTTCCATCAGCTCATGGGATTATATTCGGTTTCTTACCATTGCAAATCGTCTTTCCTGTATTAGTACATGAAATTATGGCAATGTAGCAACAGCAGATGATCTCGTTCAGCTATTCTTCAATTAAGAAGTACTATTGACTTGTTGTGATTGGATGTTTTTACTAGTTACTACTGCTAACGAGGAACGTAAAGAATGTTCGGATAAGCAAAAAAACGAGAGAGTGAGGGCGGAAGAATACGCCGGGGACAGTTTGCGATTTGATCAGAAACCACGACGTATTATGCTTGACGAAAATCAATATTTCCATGAGGTCCACTTGGTCTAGATGGACTGCTGATATCATCATTCATGACGATTACCTTTTTTGTAGCTGCTGGGACTCGTAGAGAATGAGAGAGAGGGAGAGCGAGAGAAAGAAGGAAAGACTAAAAGCCTTTAACAATTTATGTGAGAGAGAAGAGATTAGGTTATGCCTCAACAGAGATGAATATTGGCTCCCTCAAAGATCAGCAGTAGTGGGCATGTAGAATAGGACTGCGGTGGTTGAAGCTTAGGCTGATGCGAGAAAAGTATGCTAATTGGATCCTAAGAAAATGTAGACTAAACAAAGCCAGATCACTGGAAAAGAGGGTAAAAGGCATAATTGCGTCGACTATGAGATCGATTTTGCATGCTGAGAGGGTAACGAAATAGTTCTTGGAAATGGGAGTGGCACAAAAGTCGTCCTTTACCCCTACATGTGTGTTCATTTCATGATTTCCCACTTCGATCGATGCTCTGTATCGAAAACACATGGGTTCATTAACGAAACTTTCACAGTTATGTTTCACGGGAAATCCCCTACCCACATTGATCCATGGGAGTGCATGGGCTAAATCGGCTCAGACTTTCGCGCAATTGCCACCATGTCAACAAAATTAAGTACTAGACGGTACTGAAACCAAGGCACCAGAAAGTCATAAGGGAGGAAGTAAGCTTATGTGATCAGGAATATTCACGATCATTGCTGAATCCAAAATGCTGTTGGATCGGCGACATCGGGCGACATGGTCAAACGGGAACACAACAAAGGTGAGTGGCCGCAATTCCAGAGACTTTGAATGGAAAATTATCGACAGGCTATTCTCGCGCTTTACAATTCGTAATTTCTGTTTCCATTTCTTAATCCTAATTCGATTCTTTCCCGAGCAAGTGCTTTTTTGTTTGGGTTACTCATTGACAATGCTTCTTTTCGCTTTCCTTTCATCTGTAGGTGGTAACGCCGCCCATAACACATCAACAGGCAGCTAACCAGTCTTACTTTTCACTGACCCATATGAAAATAATCGTAGTGAGCCAGAGAAAAAGGTTGTGATGCAATGCTCGTCTCTCCCTCTGAGGCTTTTTAGTTAGTTTGATTTTGTTTAATCTAACTCCTTTGCTGACTAATCCTACAGCAACAACAATCTATCAACATAATGTCACTATCAGCAGTTTGTTTGCGTAAAAATCGAAACCCGCTCGAATGCATGTTGGTGTGTCGCGAGTCAATGTTTGTTCATAGGTCGACGAAGATCACCCAGGGACCACTGGGAAAGAACGGGAAATATGTGTGTCATGATTAGTTTTCATATTTTGGAGTGAGTCATCGAAAGGAAAGCAAGAGAAAAAATAGCCAAACACTGGTTACTGGTGGTTCGGCAGTGCAAAACAATGTGTAGGCCTTATGAGGTTCATGCATCTCAACCCTTCCATGGCCACCCCAAATGCGCGCGGAAAGAAGTTCATGAAGTTCCGTTACAGTGCCAATGCGTTACGTCGCCACGAGGATCGTCGCAACCATGTCTACCATATGACTCAAGATTTCAAGCTGCTACCCTAGAGGAGGCGATGGTGTCCTTCCCAGACCTTTCAATTGATCAGGATGAATCAGGGCATATGGCAACCCTGAAGGTTCCTGTTCTATGTTTTATAAGGGATTGTAGTGATTTTTAAGCTTGCTTTTGCTTAGTCATATGGATTGCAAACTTAGGAAATGGAAGCATGTCAAACAAAAGAGTGTCTTGACTGTCAAAAGGAATTGAAGAAAAAGCTCAAAAAGGTATGTTGAATTAGAGTTCGTCATGCTGAAAGGAAGAGGGGAAGAAGGAGAGGGAGGATTGTTCCATCACAATTCACACTACCGCCTAGTTAATTGTTTTGAATCATTCACAAACTGGGGGAACTGTCCTACACATCATGTCTCCGCCTACGCAGTTTGCGCTACAGTAAGGAGCCACCGTAGACACAGGATGCAGGACATTTCGGCGTGTCGTGAGTGCGACGTGAACTTCTTATACCATAAATTAAGATCGGTTTGATGCCTACAGCTATAGGCGAAATCCTTGAAGGCCAAAATACGACCACCTGCACGAAATATCGTTTTGCCAGGAAAGATGACGGTGTTTACGAAAAAGATCAAGGTGAACTCATAGCTCACTTCTAATTCCTTCCCATGACATTATTACTCAATGGTTTCAGAGCAAGGCCATTCCAGCAGCAGCTCAGAGGAGGACGACAGGAAACGTAGAAAGAACCGAAAGGGAAAGAAGGATCACAATAGACACTTTCATCGGCATAGGCGACAAGTACAAACTGCGAAGACCACTGAGCAAGCCATCATTGGTAATCGAAAAATGATTCTGATATACGGTTTTGTTGGTGGACAAAAATCCACCTCTACAGGTGTTACAAAAAGGGCATGAGCAAGCTGTAACTCGTGCCATCGTAAACATGCGTGAAACGAACTTTCACACAGTAAAGCTAGCTCGGTATTCTGATGAAGAATTCTCCCATCGACAAAAATCTCTTTTTAAGCATTTGAGCACAAGTGCATGCATGAACACCACGACATTCAGGCGAACGCTTCGTGTTGTCATGCACCTCAAAAGGAATGGCAACCGACAGCAGTGGAACCGTGTCCTTGTGCTCTTCTTGCTGGATGTGGAGACGTTTGCCAGATAACTATGCCCCACAGTACATCAACGAACTCGTTTGTGATACCTCCGACAGCAGCTGTCTCAGCGGTGAGTAAAATAGCGTATAAGGGCAGGCGTAACCGCCTCTTATGATGGCAAAGTTGTGGCTTCATGGAAGCTTTTCACGCTCTATTCGAATGTGTATACGCGAAAACAATGTTTGGTCAGTTAACTACAGCATAGACCGATAAACAATAGTTTCGTTCCTCAAAGTTTCGCATCGTCACCTTCCACAATCGTAAACAGAAACAATTTCCAGAGAGAGAGAGATAATAGCAAAATGGAAAGCTGTATGAGCTCTTGCAGGTTACGCAGTTTGTGGAGTTGGTCATCGAGCCGTTGAAGTGGTTCGGAACGACAGCGGCGTGGTAAGCACAGTCGCGCTGAGTGCCGGATCCTACTGCGAATGTCGTGCAGCGGTCAGGTTTTATGCTCACCTCCCTCCCAATATTAGAATGACTTCTTTTTTGTGAGAAGACATGGGAGAGGTACAAGTAGGGCGACAACGAACAATATTTTACCCCCAGTCCATAGCTCGCAGCAACTTCACTATTTATTTCCGCCAAAAGAAAAAAAAGTAATGAAAGAGAGTACATCAAGATTAGATTGCTCTCGAAGGTTATGTACTGCAACTTGAGCCCCAAGAGAGCTTATAATTAGTCTCAAAATTCTTTCAAAAATGAACCGTCGCCAAGGACGCTCAGAGACTGTATATGGTGCTTACCCCTCAATTTTTATGTTTTTTTTTTCATGTCTTCTTTTCTTTGTTATGTGAAGCCTTTGCGGCTGACAATAATATGCAGCAATGTAAGGATCAAAAGATTTCGATATAATTGTAATGGAATTTCAGAAAAACTCAGCGATCGAGTCTCTTGTTACCGGTACCGGTTTGAGCAGTTCGCTGCCAGCTCTCACTTCGACGGTCAGCCCCTCGAACGGGAGTAATTGATGTACTTGCGCTATGGGAATACATCTTCTTCTTTTTATCGTGCATATCTTTACTATTATGACTGACACATTGTTACTATTGATATCCTCATGTTTCTTGCCCTCTCCTGACATGGTTCCTCAAATAAAAATTCTCTTGCGACCAACCTATTTCATAAAGACGGTTTTATTGCCTTTTAGAAGAGTGTGATAGAAATCTTAATCTTTGGGCGGCATCAAGGAGATCATCCTCAACTAGTCCAACTGGCTTCTTACTCCAAATTTCCTCACAAAAAACGAAAAGCCGTATGTCATAACGACTTGTAACCACTTGTAACCTCACTTGTAACCTCAGCGTCAATTCCCACACCGGAGGGTGCTAGTAGCGGCTTGGACTGGTTGCTTATAGAAACGCCCGCATGTCAGTGCATGAGAAACAATATGCTTAGTAACAATGACATCCAACCAACCACAGGCCAATACTTTTGTGAGGTCGTCGTCGCTAAATAATAAAGCATTCTACGAATATACATATGTCTTCGTTAAAATAGAGTTTGCTCAGCCCAAAGTGCAACATCAGATGTGAAAGAATCGAGGATCCAGTATTGGAAAGCCTCTAGCTTATGGATGGTTTAGTGATCCTCATCACAATCGACAAAACGTGGCACTCACTTGATTTCAACGCGACGAGATTTCTCAGCTGAGATTTCTTATATCCTTATTGAGTTCCCTAAATAAATACAACTCTCTGCATTGCTTAAAAAATAATAATAAACGGATGGACGTTGATGAAATGTAACCTCGAAATACGAAATGAAGTTATGTTAATGACACAAAGAAAAGGTTTATTTGAATAACAATTAAACTTTGTTCAACGACAACAACAAGAAAAAACAAGCTAACTTACAACGAACTTTTAGTGTAGGCCTACGTCCTCAGCACAGCGCCTAAACACACGTCTAGGTGCAGCAATTTTTACATTTGGAAATGGAGGAAATCATCAGAACTAACGTAAATATCGATTTTGAGATCAAATCACGTGGAATTGATTCCGTCGATAATCGTTCCCTTACGACCCCTTCTTGCGCTCTTTAAGAAAACGCTATATTTTTTTTCTTGCTTTCAACAAGTCAATTTCCATTTCAATTCCCTCACTGGTTGGCGGCCCTTGAGCATTCAGTTCCGTCGTCTCTCCCTCCAAATTGTCCAGATCTTCTAACAAATCAGCAACCTCGTCTAGTTCACGCTTAAAAGACTGATTCCAACAAGCCATTTCACAAAGTGTGTTTTTNGAAATTCTCGATGAACCAAAGTAGGAGTACCTTTCTTTTGCTGATCGTTGCAGTTTCGAAAGTTGCAGGAGCAGCAGTTTCCATGTGGACATTGTCTACACCATCCGCTATGATTGCCACCTGATTAGCAATAATCTTCTCCTCATGACTTTCATCAAGTCGAGATTCGCTGCCACCTGCCAGTGGATTCTGCTGTAAAATGTTACTCATATGAACAGAACAAACAGACACCACGAAGTATAAATATCCTCACATTCAAGACAACACTTGGCTGCTCCATTTCCAGGAAACCTTCCATGAGTTCAACTGCAGGAGCTACGAGTTCGTTTGGCTGGAATTGAACAGAATTTGATTTGAAAGGATGAAAAGTTAGATATTTAATAAGGATAAATACGAAAAAGCCCAATCGAAGATTACGGTTCCTCCTCGAAAAACAGATAATCGACTCAAATTTGGTGAGCGCTATAGCGCGATAACTGACTGATAAACAGAGCCCAACAACCCAATGTATCTCTTGAAGACGACATAGACCCACTCAAATATGTAGTCGTGTTGAACAATTATCACTGATAAGTGAGCTTCCAACAGGCCTTGGGCGGACTCACCTGAGCCTCCTTGGTGGTAAGCAGCTGAGCATTTATTGTTAGATCAAACCCAGCCGGCTTCTGGTAATTGGCTCGCTTTTGTGCATCATCTCGAATCACTGTGGAAATTAGCTCCGACAAGTCAATAGCGCGTTGCATTGCACGCTTAACACATGCTTCAATCTGAAATTAAGAAATAAATGACCTTCAAATGTACCAATTGAACCCCCACAACGTCACAATGATTGTAATATTCTCCTACCGTGCCCGTACTGAGGATCAGGTTAGTTGACTGATGAAGAGCGCAGACCTCACGACGCTTATTACAAGCAATCACCAAACAACCGTATAAACATTGTGACTCCTTATCAGTAGGATCAATGACGACGGCATTTCTAGAGAAAGAGGATTCAGTCTGATATGGAATCCAAGTGGGATAATGAGATTGATGCGATTTAACACACCCGCTTTTCGTGAAACCAAAAGAGACACATATAGGCATATGGTAGATGTTGAGCGGCACAAGTGCTTGTTCATATTCTGAGTGCTGCAAATTCATGACAAAAATTAAAAATATAGGAAAACCTCCACAAAAATATATGCATAAACAACTGAAATATAAACATAATTCGATGATTACTCCGCTTAAATTGGGCTTACAATTAAAGTGTGATTCGGCTGAACTGTAAGGTTTGGGCGACGGAAATGGTAAAGTGCTGCCACAGCGGCGACTGAGGCGCAATCCAAAAGCCCACCGTCGTCATCGAGGATGCGTACATCAACTCTTAGTTTCCAAACTTCTTTGTGTGCTCGAACGCAGAGAGACTAAAAGCGTGACCATCAGAAGCAGCTGACCATTTCTCATTTTTGTTCATTGTGGCAACTTCAGAGGTGAAATATGTATAGCGAAATATTAGAACATCCAACGAAAAACACCGTAAGAGGCAAAGATAACTGAGTGGGCTCAAGTAAAGGCTCAAGACCGCATATCCTACAGGAATTGTTTGATTGTTAAAAATAACATCCACTGTGAAAGTGCAACAAAAAGTGCCAACAACAAACACCGGAGGGATTAAAGCCAAGGAAATGCAGAAGATAACCTGCAGAGTAGAAAGAGTTTACAACTTATATCAGAAAAGTAGGTTGCTGAGACGCTGGTCTCAGGCGAGAAAAGCAGAGAAGTTGCAGGAAATGGCTCTCATGGAAACTCAAGCAACTAAAAAATTCAATGAATTAAGTTATGTTATAAGAGGATGTGAGCAGCCAAATTCAGAGCTTCGAATCGAATTCAGAAAACAAGACGCGCCAGAAATTTGAAACCAACACTTGTGACAATAACAATAAGAAGAAGAAAGCTGTAGCTCCTGTTAAAAAATTAAAATGAAGTAGTAGCCAGGCGTGTGCAGAAAAGCACTTTTTCAGTGAAAAGCGTTACATTTCAAGCAGAGCAGAGCAGAAAAATGAGAGTTAACAAATCACTGAAGGGCCCAGCATCCAATTTTGAATAGATTATTGAAACGATTACCACTTCTATTCAAAGCTTGATAAATACGAATATCAATAACCAGAAATAAAGTCACCTCAACGTCTATGCATCTTGAATCCCTTAGCACTAGTTCGAGCATACGAGTTAACTCAAGTCCTCGCTCACCCAAACGATTATGTTCATTTGCTGAAAATGGAGTGGTCATTTCCGCTTGTTTATCGAGCATTTCAAAAGAAACGGTGAAGACACATTTGCGAATAAATTATGCTGTTGTTGGAACAAGCAACACCATATAAAGCACGATCCCAAAAAAAGATTCCGAAATTCTTTCGAAAATATGTTCGTTTTGTAAAGATAGCGAAGGTCTAATCACGCTACCGCCTTTTTCCTGATACGAATTTCCACATATACACAAACTGTGGAGGTGCCGCTTCACAAACTTTTTCGGGAGCACCGGACTTAGTTGTTACAACGGAACATGACAAGCTTATTAAAATCAGTAAATTGTCTCTACCTGGATTGCCCATCGGACTCATGTCGACGTCAACCGCAACAATACCTTTGTTAGGGCGACTCGTGCGCGGTTCCGTAAGGGTAGCACTAACGGCACACAATACTCTGGAAGAGCTATTTTTGGGACATTCAAAAAAACCAAGGCGGTTTGTCAGGGTATTGGAATATGTGATAGAAATTGAAAAATATCTAAACAGCTCACTTTGTTTCTCCCATGGTACACAACGCAGTCCCACATTCTGATCCCACAACAAGTTTCACTTGCCGGAAATCGCTCAAACTACGACCATCGAGCCGCTGCAAGAATACTGATTATGCTGGCTTTCAATTTTAAAAGCTTTCCGGAACAAAAATCGTATTCCTAATATGCAACTACATTAGAGCCACNGGATGGATGTATCTCTTCAACTTGTTCCTTTAGAGCAACTTCCACTAATTCCCTGAAAACCCCATAACACGAACCACGATTATTGAACATACCTGGTTTTCCGCAAAACCTTCTTGTAGGAAATTTTGTTCGCACTTTGACAATGGGTCGTTGCGCATCTTGACAACGACGGTTTGAGAAAACTACTTAACGTTTCAACATAAAAGTAATTCACTGAGGTACAACAACTGAAAAACAGCACTGCAAGAATTGTCTCTGAACACGGGAGAGTTGCCGAGAAATTTATCAAATTCAACAAATATAATACAACATAACAAAGCAAGGCATTCGCTGATAGGAACTTCTTAAAGAAACGACAGCAGAGGGGACAAATTCTGGATTTTTGAGAATAATGTTGAAAGTAAGAAATGGGCAGCTATTCGCATAAGAAGTATTACAAGTTGTACAATTAATAGAGAAAAATGGAATTTGTACGACAAAGCTCACTTCGGCAAGGGCATTTGCGCAAGCTGTGCCTGAATCTTCGATTGCAACGTTTCGGATATGATATTCCGGGTACGTTTTTTATCAAGAATTATTTTCTCTATTGTTTCAACCTGAAAAAAAAANAAAAAAAAACAGGGTGTTTTGACCTATGACGTAGGAAAGTTGCTCTGTTGCAAAGGCCTTTTCAGATTATTAGAGTGTTCGGAAATGAAAAAGAACTAAATTCAGGGTTATCAAATTTGAATAGGTACCTGTTTAGTGATGTATTTCTTCTTACGTTCGAAGAAATCACGAGCTTTCTCGCGACTGACTTCTGCAAAATAACCAGTTCCCATTTCTACGAGCATACGATCTGGATTATCCAATTCAGCACGTATATACATCTGCAAAAAACGATCAGCTTAAGTGGAACAACTACTTCTCTTAGCGCATCTGAGCTGCCATCCAAAAGCAAATTCACGTTCCTATTTGTTTTGAAGATTTTTCATCTAAGTAATGTTTCACACGGAAGTCATTCTACCAACGATCACCTAGAGAAACTGAAGTTTCATTCATACAAAGTTCCTACAATTCGTATGAAACACAGAGACTTGATTGGAAGAAGAGTTCGAAAATTAACGAAGTAACGCGCGCTTGCGCTCAACTAACAGATGGAGATTGGCCATTTAGCTGCACAAAATGATAGAGTTGTAAGACTACGCAGTCGGTAGCATACGGAAGAGGATTCTTCAGAAACACACCGATTCAGATAGCGGAATTAGAGCTACATGTCCGGGTTCTGCAGTCTTCAAGACGTCCATTGATGAGATGCTCTGTTCGTTTTTCAAAATGAGTGCCTAAATCACACATTGACTATTAACACCTCAAATAAGAGCTGAAGCGATTAAAAAGACCATAAATGAAAAATGCGGCTAACAAACCTTAAGCTGATTAGCGGATTCTTGAAAAAAGCTCAACTCTTGATCCACTTGTCGCTGAAGAGCGCTTATTTGTTCAACTCCAAGTTCAGCTATCGGTATACCAGAAGACTTTGCATCACCTCCTTCACTCATGCCTATTTTGGAACATTTCAATTAACTGCGAACCACGACCCTGTTCCCACGAAATACTGAACGCGAAAACAAGCTATTAGGAAGAAAAAAGCGGCCCCATTGCTCTCATTGAGCATAAATCGTCCCTAAATGAACATAATACACAATTGAAGACCATAAGCAATTTCAGTAAGTGAGAAAATGTGATGCTACGATTTTTAAGAAAGGGGACTGTAGTGGGTGAGATCCTATGCATTAATCTGGAAAAGGCTCAATAGAATATCTAGCCAAAGCGATTAAATTCAAACGATACGCAACGACAATTCTATGTCATATTTCATACCGTTTTGCCGCACAGGTTTGTTACGATAGAATCGCTTTATTAAGTCGACGATTCGAACAGTTCGTCGTCCTTAAGGACCTGAAAGTAGTTCGAAGCTGCTGCTCGGTAGCTTAATTGACCACGAGCCCAAACGCGCAATTTCAAGGGGACACAACCAGGAATGTCGGGCTCACAAGCTTATTCACCGAGAAGTGGTGAAAAAAAGTGTATCGCCAGCTTCCTTTTATACCGGACAAAATTCGCGTATAAATCCAACAATTCACTGCACGAACGGATTTGGCGAACGACGTTGTCTTGATAAGCCTACCAAAAGACAAAATCAAACGTCATCTAGTTGCAATAGGCTTGATAAACATCTAGCAAGTGAGAGGCAAGCCTACTTGCGCCACTTGGGAGACATCGATAAAAGGAATATCAGGGCAATGATTCGATTGATTGATATCAAATGCAAAATCCTAGCCAAGAATGAGATCGGTGCTAGAAAGATATTGGAAGCGTTGCACATCAGCGGGAGAAATCCCAAAATGAACAAGCGGAATGAGTGCATTGCCGTAACGAGTTAATTTCTACCATTCACTCCTTTCTGTGTGCTTTGGGATCACCGTGTAATTCTTATCTCACGACTTCAATGGTGTATCGTTGGTCCCCTCTTGTTCACAGAATCGGGTGGGACGGCAACGCTGGTGGAACCGTAGAATTCTGGTTTCTTGGCCAGGATCTTTAGGTTTTCGAGTTTCTGGGAGTTGTTGCAACCAGACTAGCGCGTTTGGGGACTTGATCGAGCAAGCCTTACATTAGGAACTCCGAACTTCTTTCAGGTCCTCGAAGACGACGAGCTTTTCGGAGCGTCCACCTAATAAGGGGATTCTGTGGATTTTT